ATTCACTATCACATTCTTCTAGTTCTATCCCTTATCATAACATCACTCTTTGTCTTCTTCATATCATATTGTTTAAGAATGAAGATTAGTAATACAGTAGTGTGTGGGAATTCCACTATTTTAAGTTCCACTAATTTTTATTCACTAGTATTCATTTTCTTTCAAATCACCGAATTCGAAAGTAACATTCGTTCAAATTTTTACTGCCGGTTGTATTAAAGTTCCAATACAAGTAAGTTATCCATTAAGAAAGTTCGAAGTACTTTCCCCTTTCCTTCATGTGACTTAAAATCATTGATTAACAATGAGCAGTATATATTTATAACATACATTTGATTTTATGCTGATCTTGGCATCGGATCATCACTTTTAACAAAAAATCAATGAGAAGTGTCCAATTGAGAAAGCTGGATATGAAAATATAGATGTTACTTTCTTCGATCAACTTGATTCGTCACATTTACAACAGATCTACTCTTAAGAGAACAGTGACGAGACGAGTATAAGTAAAGTCAATACAAGTAAGGTTACTGATACTTATGAAAACATACTCAATGTGTATACGCGAGTACAATGTACTTAACTTCAAGATGAGTAAATATTTTCATTGAACCACTGTAAAATCATTATATTATTAGATAATAATCTTTCAAAGGGGTTTCTCTTTCTAGGAAGAGCTGACCTTCAAAAAGCCGGAGACCTAAAATCTGAGCGGATTCTCTCTTTTCTAGGAATCCAGAAACCTGGTAACCCGATTGTCGACGGGTTCTCCGTTTCCAGGAACTGCGGAACCCGTAGTCACTTGTTCTTAAATAGAAGATATGTTGTACCCAGACATTAACGTGCTTAACAATGCACAAGTACGATTTTTCAGAAGAGTTCCGGGTTGCTTGGGAACGGAACGTTAAGGATCGGAAACGTTGACATTCCTATTTGAACATACGGCTTTCGATAAGCGATTGGGTATTCTACCAATTAAACTATCTAGTATTCACTTCAGTAAAAAGAATTTGCTGCGTATTAAAAGTCTTCGTTGTAACCTAGAGAATTCACAGAATGATGCAGTAACTCTACTGTTCATCATTATTTATTAATCATAGTCAAAGAATTTTGTCTTGCTATGTTGGAAGATGCTCATAGAGCATAACTATGGATGAAAGTCGTCGTGTAATAATAGGAGTTCATATAATGAAATATTTCTCAACCATCCTGTCTTAGAACAGTTAACGAGTATTTCGCGTATTTATTATGCAATAAATTATTTTTACTGAAGTGAAAACTAAATAGGTTAATCGGTAGAATAATGAACCCGTTATCAGAAAACATAGGTTTGAGTCCTACTCTAGTTAAATGATCTTTCTTAATAAGCTGCGTGAAAACGCTTATTGGGACGTATGCACCAGAATACGCAAAAACTCTTTCTTAAATGGATTTCCTTGGACAAATGGTTTTCGCTTTTTACTGATGAACTTCTTTATTCAATTTCGTAACTCACTCCGTACAGCCACCGTAGTGTCTCTACGACAGTTATAGTACAGCATGAAACATATTTTTTAAAGACTTCCTCATCAGGCAGTTATTGATTTCATTTCTTGTTTAAAGGATGTCACGAATGAGTAAACCTATTTGCTTGGATGACATGTATTGCACTGATACCACGGAGCAGCATTGGCACGCATACGAACATGAGAATAGAAGCCATCGAAAAATAAGTTTGTAGCCCTTCACATGAAGTCCGTGGACTCTAATCTTATACTTTCTACTTAGTCCGTTTATTTCATGGGTCTCTATGTGTACATGCAGGCAAGATCGACGAGCACGGGCTTGTAGAGTCAAATGATGGAAGACTTGGACCTGGAATTTACCTAACCCTGCGCGATGTGGCAACGACAAAAATTTTCAAAAATTATTACTACATAATGAATTGATCTATACAATAAATAACATATTGATGAATATGGATCATCATGAAAAATATTTAAACAGTGATTTAGTACAATATTTTTCTACTGTAATTAAAATATTTACTAAATTAGTAACATTTAATACTACAACGGCGGAACTAACGTTGATATTAGATCCAATTGTGAAATTACATTTTTCTACAAATTATATTGAAGCTTTCAAGGCGCTCAGTCAGCGTACTCCAATGACGTCGAAACAAGAATTATTACTAATTACATGTCCACTGTTTTTGTTTAATTATCAACCACTATGTGAATATCCCGAAGAAACAGAACAATTTTTAACATCAAAATCCGTTTCCCTACTTCACCGATATCTTTGAATATTTATTGCCTACAATATCCGAATGGAATGAGGCTATTATCGTATCTATGTCCCATTTGATAAACATTCTCTATCGACTATCTCAGTTTAGTTCGATTAGTGGCTATGATCAATTAATTTCTTATTTAATTCAAATTTTAAATGATAATGATGCTTCTTCTTTAAAAACACAATTAAAAGATGCAACTCTGATGTTAATATTTAACTTAATAAAAAATTTTGCTCTATTACCCGTCGTTAAACAACTAGAAAATGTTACACAAGTAAGTAAGTAAGTTAGACCCGTACCGTTACCGGTGTAGGGTGAAAAACAAAATCCAATGCACAAATTAAAAAGAAAACTATAGTGTCTTTGGTAAGTGTTTGTAAGTCGCTGTTGTAAGATAAG